GGCGAGGCTGAGAGCCCAGGCACAGGTACACGGGAGGGATGCACACCGATGATCTTATGACAGTTCTTGAAAAAGCCATCACAGTGTAGGGTCATTTTAGTGCAGTAAGATTCTATCTGATCCAGCTGTATTAGCGTGAAACACGTATGTGTGTGTGTGTGTGTGTGTGTGTGCGCGCAAAGCGAACACTTACTTGTGCATGTGCTCCATTCCGATTATGATCATGATGCAGTAGGAAACTCCACTTTGTACGAGGAAATGTAAGGCGTACCTACAAAAGGGAGAGCACGGTTAGGCGGGGACGGAACCGCTCACAGACATCCAGTTCACACAGTCTGGGCCTAAAAGTGCTAAGTTCAGCCCAGCCGGCGTGGCTCAGGGGTTGAGCGTCGACCTAGGAACCAGGAGGTCACGGTTCAATTCCCGGTCAGGGCACATGCCCCAGGTGCAGGCTCCATCCCCAGTGTGGGGCGTGCAGGAGGCAGCTGATCAATGATTCTCTCTCATCATTGATGTTTCTCTCTCTCCCTCTCCCTTCCTCTCTGGAATCAATAAAAAAATATTTTTAAAAAAACAGCCAAAAAAACTATAAAACGTTATAAGTAAATATAAGCCCAAAACCTCCGAGAATGTATCTTTCTACAGGACATCAGCGTCTCCGTTTACATAGAATCAACATACTTACCATCCAAAGCAAAAAACTGCAAGATAAAGGCCCAAGAGAGTAGCCACGACATGTCTTATGAAAGAGCTGGTTTTGCTTGAATGAAGGTACGTTCGAAACCAAACGGCTGCGAGCAAGGCGAAGAGCTGGCACACGACGAAGTTGACCTGTGAGGAGAAAGCACAGGTCACGTTAGCAACACGGAGGGCACTCCTCCCCGGACGGCTTCCTTCCGTGCTCAGGGCAAACGCACCACGTGACGTGAGGTCTCCCATTTCACCACAGACACACCGCTCAGGGCCGTCCCGGGAGGACAGCCCGCGGCCCAGGGGGATGGGCCCACCGGCTGTGCCCACGCGGCAGGGACAGGGGCCTCGGGGTGAAGGCCGGGAGGGCCGAGAAGGAACCTGGAGGAGCCGGGCTCAGGCACAGAACCCGGGCAGCCTGCGGGGGAGGGAGGGACCCTGACCCTGTAACTGGGAGAAGCAAGAGCTCTCAGTCCCCCAAAACCCCCGGGGTCCAGCTCTGGTCCCGATCCCCGAGGGTCTGGGGGCGCATCCTCTTCGCTTGGGGTTTGCACCCGCCCCTGGCAAGGAGTCGAGGGAACGCCGCTGGTCCCAGCCGCCACTCGGGGAACCACAGGAACCACGTCCCAGCCCTGGGGGTCAGGGCTCAGGAGAAGGGAGGGGGGATGACAGGGGAGGGAGCCCCGCAGCGGTGCGCCCGCCAGGTGATCTTCCTTCCTCCTAACGCGCCGCGGCCACGGCGTCCCGCACTCGCAGCGAGGACATGCGTGCCCGTGTCTTCCCTCTCCCGCAACACTTCCTCCTCCCTAGGAAAGCATTAAACGAAAGGCTACGAAGAATACTACGCTTTCGTGGTATCTAAAGACTCGTTTCTCTCCTATGTTCTCATAATAGTTTAAGGAAAATATGGCTAAAAATCTACAAATAAAAGAAAGCCTCCGTCTGGCGTGAGGAACTTGCTAACAAGACATCACAGCCAGACACAGGCGGTTTCAGGAGCCGAGATTGGAGCAAGTGGCGGTGTCTGCGGGTGGGAGCTGCCACGGACCCGCGGGGAGAGCTGCCCGGGACAGGCCTGCGTGGCGTCCCTCCACGAGGGACACAGCTGCTCGCTGCTGCCTGTGCCTGAGAGCCATGAGT